GCTGTGGGCCTATCACATATGGCCTTTATCATGTTGAGGTATGTTCCCTCTATACCCTCTATGTTCTGGAGAGTTTTTATCATAAATGGATGTTGAATTGTATTAAGTGCTTTTTCTGCATCTATTGAGATGATCATATGGTTTTTATTCTTTAGTTTAATGTGGTGCATAACATTGATTAATTTGTGGATATTGAAAAATTCTTGCATCCCTGGGTTAAATCCCACTTGATCATGGTATTATCTTTTTTTTTTTTTTTGCGGTATGCGGGCCTCTCACTGCTGCGGCCCCTCCCACCGTGGAGCACAGGCTCTGGATGCGCAGGCTCAGCGGCCATGGCTCATGGGCCCAGCTGCTCCGCGGCATGTGGGATCCTCGTGGACCGGGGCACGAACCCGTGTCCCCTGCATCGGCAGGCAGACTCTCAACCACTGTGCCACCAGGGAAGCCCGGTATGATCCTTTTAATGTAGTTGCATTTGGTTTGCTAATATTTTGTTTAGGATTTTTGCATGTATGTTAATCAGTGATATTGGCATGTAATTTTCTTTTTTTGTGGTATCTTTGTCTGGTTTTGGTATCAAGGTGATGCTGGACTCACAGAATGAGTTCAGAAGTGTTCCTTCCTCTGCAATTGTTTTGGAATAGTGTGAGGAGGATGGGTGTTAAGTGTTTTTAAATGTGTGGAAGAATTCACCTGTGAGGCCATTTGGTCCTGGACTTTTTGTTTGGGAGGCTTTTTAAAAGTTACTGATTCAATTTCATTACTGGTAAGTGGTCTGTTCTTATTTTCTGTTTCTTCCTGGTTCAGTCTTGGGAGGTTGTACATTTCTAGGAATTTGTCAATTTCCTCAAGGTTGTCCATTTTATTGGGATATAACTATATAGTATAGTATATACTATAGTTTGTAGTAGTCTCTTTTCCTTTGTATTGAAGGGCAGCAGGGCTGCCCTTTACCATGTAGGTTTACGGTTTCAGTTGTAACTTCTCCTTTTTCATATCTGATCTTGATTTGGGCCCTCTCTTTTTTTTCTTAATGAGTCTGCCTAAAGGTTTATGAATTTTCTTTTTAAAGAACTGGCTCTTAGTTTCACTGATCTATTGTTTTTTTTCTCTACTTCATTTATTTTTGCTCTGATCTTTATGATTTCTTTCCTTCTGCTAACTTTGCGTTTTCTTTGTTCTTTTTCTAGTTCCTTTAGGTGTAAGGTTAGGTTGTTCGAGATTTCTCTTGTTTCCTGATGTAAGGTTGTATCGCTATGAACTTCCCTCTTAGAGCTGTGACCCATAGATCTTTGGATCACTGTTATTATTTTCATTTGCTAGTGGGCAGAACCGGGGCCCAGCTGGTCCCAGGACAGGTGCTGAGTCTGCCGGTTGAGGGGCTGTGGATGTCCTGTGGCTGGGTCTGCCTGCTGGTGGGTGGTCCTGAGGCTTGCTGGGGATTCTGGGGCCGGTACTTGGTCACTGATGGGTAGAGATGGGCCGAGATGGGCCTTGGGGTCTCTGGCTGCAGGGCCCTGGGTGTCCGTGGTGTAGTGCATGTGTGCTGGTGTGTGGGGCTGGGTCCTGGGTCCTCTGGAGGGGGCAGGGCCACGTCCAGGGATGGCTGTGGGCTCAGGGGGGTCTTAAGGCAGCTTGTGTGTGCACCCAGTTAGTCGCGTGGCCTGACACACCTCAGTCCTGGTGCCTACAGGCTGGTGGGGGAGGGAGGGGCTGGGTCCTGAGGCCAGTAACCTGGAGGGAGATCCAAAGTGTCACTTGCCGTCACCAGGGTCCTCGCGAGGTTTCGTGTGGTCCGTTAAAAGGGTGAAGTCTCTTTCCCCCCGCCCTCTGGGACTCTTGAGAGCCCTGCTGCCCTTCAAAGCCGAACGTTCTGGGGGCTTGTGTTCCTGGCACAGACTCGCACACTCTGAGGAGTCTGATGTGGGCCCAGACCCTGTATCCTTTGGGAGAATCTCTGTAATTGTAGTGATTCTCACGTTTGTGGGTTGCTCACCTGGGTGATGGGACTCGGCTATGTTGCGACTCTGCCCTTCCTACCCATGTCACTCGTTCTTTGTATCTTTAGTTGTAGAAGGTATTTTCTGGTAGGTTCCGGGCTTTTTCATTGGCGGTGGTTCTGCAAATAGTTTTGATTTCAGGCCTGCCTGTGAGCGGTGAGCTCAGGGTCTCTCTACTCCACTGTCCTGGCTGACCTCCTTGAGGATGTTTATTCCTATGTGTTAGCATAGAGATCGCTTGGTGGACTGGTCCAGCTCCTCCAGATGCAGAATAGTTTGTAGACCATCAAAATTCTAGGGTGGTAGGTCCAGCCTCAGCTTGAAAAAGCCCTAAATCCCGAGCTGCCAAGCAGCCTCAATCAACCCCCCGCCTCCACCCACCACTTCCATGCTCAGGATTGTAGGCTCACAGGGTGCAGAATGGACTGGATTCTCCAGGCCACCCTCCTGCCCATCTGCACTCCAGGCATAGAAGAGCCAAGCTACTTGTCCTGGGTCAAATACCCTAGATGCTTGAGTCTCAGCCCTGAGGTGCTGATTTAAATGGTTTTGTGGGCATCCAGAGTTTTCCAGGCTCTCCAGACGATTCTAATATGCAACAAAGTCTGGCAACCACCGCTTTGCACTCCCCATGGCCAGTTTCAATCTCAGTTTGGTTTTGATGAGTCAGGGTGCTGGGGGAGGAGCGGTGGCGTCTGGGGAGCATTAGCTGCTCCTGGGCCCAGACACTCACAGGCTCTGTGATGTGATGATGAGCAGGCCCTTGGCCCCTATGAGCCTGTTTCCTCACGTACAAAGCTGAACAAGTGGGCTTCCCTGGTGGCGCAGTGGTTGAGAGTCCGCCTGCCAACAAAGGGGACACGGGTTCGAGCCCTGGTCTGGGAAGATCCCACAGGCTGCGGAGCAACTAAGCCCGTGTGCTTAGAGCCCATGCTCTGCAACAAGGGAAGCCACTGCAATGAGAGGCCCACGCGCTGCAATGAAGACCCAATGCAGCCCAAAATAAATAAGATAAATTAAAAAAAAAAAAAGCTAAACAGGTACATGCAATGTCGCAGAGTCACGATGTCATTCAAGTTCTGGGCTTTGCTCCAGGGCCTAAAGGCACTTGGAGGACTGTTTAATCTGCCTGGAGTCTCTCCCTTACCGTGGAGGGCAGGGCCCCCCTGGCATGTTCTGGAGGTCACCAGAGCATCTAGGACAGGAAGGGCAGGGCTGGGGAAAGCCGGTTACGGAAGGGACAGAAAGGTCAGTGACACAGAGGCCCCCAGAGGGGCTGATCAGAGTGGGCTTTGGGGGACGCAGATGACGGCAGTGACAGACCCAGCAGACAAGAGCCCTATGCCCATTGTCCCTCTCTCGTGATGTGTCACTACTTGTTAGAGCCAATTCTCTAACACACAGTTTCCTTCTTTTGCATACCATTTGTTCGTATTACTGTAAGCCAAGTGAAGGACGCGGAGGTTGGAGCCCCTGGCCCTGGCCCTCTGGGCTCCTGCTGGGCCCAGAGGCTTTCCCCTTCTTCCGCTCTCTGGCCAAGAGGGGCAGTGGGGTGGTCCTAGTCAGCTGCCTTCCACCTGCTTCTGGTTACATTGTGGGCGTGGGTTTCCCTTAAACTGTCAAATGTGATATGCCCGTGTGTATATTTCACACAAAATGTAAACGTCTCATGAGGAACTTCAGAAGTGAAGAATTATCAGAGAAACATTTCGAATGTGTTAAGAAATATTAGTTTTATTTAACCAGTTTTCACAGCTGAATATTTATTCTATAAAAACTTTACAGATTGTACAGTTTATATATAGTTCAAACTACTGAACGAAAAAAGTAGGTCCCACAGATGCAAAAATACTGCACCAGCCAATCCATGGTAAAGGCAGATTTACACGCTGTACAGCTCTCCACGAGGCCGGGAGGTGGTCGGTTCTAAGTATAAACTTCAAAACTGTACAAAAATAAGGTTTTGATTTTATTTCATTCTTCATACATTCAATATGATTGCAAGCTCAGAAGCCTACCGAATGATAGGCGTCTGGAATCAGGAATCAGTCCCCACTCCTGGCGGGAATGCGGACGTCTATTTACACAGGGCACTCTTGGACAGCATCCTGTACTTGGTACTATTGTGTAGACATGAAAGCAGAGACCAAGAACATTAAACGTCGATATAAGGTAGCTCTTTCTCTTAAAAAGGAGTTTCTGCATTTAATAGTGTGCCAAAAGAATTTTAACTTATTAAATAAAATATATTCTAAGTGAACCTAAAAATTACACTTTATAAACATAAAAATACTTTATTTTTGGTGTAATACATCAATCATATCTGCAAATAGAAAACCAAAACTGTATATAAAGTAGTTCTCACCCAGTAACAAGAAGCACTTATATAGTTATTTTTTCAAATGGGTCAGAAAAATTAATTATAAACCCCCTATAACTTAGAGATCATACTTAGCTATTCAGTGATTCGCTAACACTGCAAAACAAGCTTTCCCCTAGAGAGAGAGTGGTTTCTTTCTGTTAACTGGGTAAGAATCGGACATATTTAAGAAAGAGGGCGGAACCAACTGATTTCTCAGCGTGAATCCTAGGCGTGTTTTAGTCTGGGGGTATATTCAGCAGTGGGTGTTTAATCAGAAATACTTATTCTTTTAGGATAAGTCTTCCTTTTGATTGAGAATTTTCCATCTCTGAGGTTTTGTACCTTCCTGGAGACAAGGGCATGCCTCAGATCTTTCCGTATTTCTATTTGGGGTGGGGGTGGGGGCGAGGCAGGCTAACACCTCTTTAGATTCTGTTTTCTAGAAGGAAAAAACAAGGAAAACAAACATTATTCCAGACTTTTCTGACACCCAAACCAGGAAAACACACTTTTTTATACAGTACTAGCCAAAGATAACAAAAAGTGTAGAGCCTCAAAGAGCAGCCCAGAGCTCACAATTTATACTTTTATACTTGTGTGTGTATTAAGTATAAAATAATGACGTTTGGACAAAGGAGCTTTGTAGTTATTTATTTTAAAGTTACAGTACTTAAAAACTCCTTGGTAATAAATAGCTTGGCTGTTTCAAGTCCTGCTTCCAAGCGTGAGCTCCACGTGAACCTGTTTCAGGCTGTGAGGGTGGGTCCGCGCCCCGGGGAGCCCCAGCCGGCCTGCACGATGCGACTCCAGGGTCGTCTGGGGCAGCCCGGCCGTCAGAACTCGTCGATCTTCCTCTGCAGGTACTTGAGCATGGAGTCCATGCCCTGGGCCGAGCCCCAGATCTTCTTCAGCACCTCGCACTCCCGCTCGTTGGCCTGCTCCAGCTCTAGCTTCATGTTGCAGCGCACCAGGGCCTTGGATTCCTCGAGCACCTGTGCCAGACAATGAGCTGTGATTAGCGGGGACTGTGGCTGCAAGTGCTGGCTCCTCGCTGCCCCCAAGCTTACGGAAACAGTTAGCAACCTGGTAAGAAGGTGACCAATACATCTCACCATACGTGTCAGGCCTGATATAGGTATAATGTGTATCTCATTCACTGTGGATCTGGACAAATTCTTCATTTCAAAGGGCTGTTAAGCTAATTCACAACAGAGCTGTGCTTCTCTCCATGTCCTGGTCCTGCCCCAGCAGTGTGACCAGGCTTGGGCCTGAGCTACGGCTGTGGGGCCCCTGCCCCCAGCGTGGACCCTGTCCACGCCTGTGATACTCATTGAGAATGCCCACCCCAGGAGTTTTCTAACTGGAATTTAATTTCGGTAACGAGTTGTGGGATGCCTGGGACAGCCTAGATGGGAGTTGTGTCCGTTAATATGAAATAACATTTCACCCTGTAATTTGCTAAATGCAATTTTGTTAGAAGACTGTTACCCAGCACACTTATTAAACAAAAACTGAAGTCCACTGAGGGAGAAATAAGTGCAGTTGTGTGAAAGGGCTTTGGAAACAGTAAAGAACTTTAGAAACGTTGCTTTTTGCAGACTTGCATGGGACACTTAAGTGACTGACTCTCAGCTTGAACTGCACTCCTTGGCTCCCGGGTATCTGCAGAGGGAGGGCAAGGTCAGCAGGGGCCCGAGCCCGGCCTCCGGTGTCGCACATGGAGGCAGCCGTGGGTGCCCCCTGCGCGCGCCCTGCAGGGAAAGGTCGCGGTGAGAGCACTGACACGTGGAAGAGAAGGAACTGGACGTACAACCGGGTTACAGGAGGCGAGCTCCTTAATGCGGACCATGACTTCCTGGGTGAAGGTCCCGGGCCAGAACACCTGGGAGACCAGGCCTTTGCCGCACGCCTCCTGCGCCGTCAGCTTCCGTCCGCTGAGCAGCATTTCATTCGCCTGGAAGGAAGAAAGAGCGGAGGGCGCGTGAGACGCGGGAGGGCGCGGCAGGGAGGACACAGCCCGAAAACTCAGCCCTGAAAGTTCAGACTGTGCGCGAGTAACACACGGGAGGTGCCATCAACGGGGGATGTAACTACCGGCCGGCGAGTTTTCAAGAAGATGTAAAAGGCTTATTTTTATGACGTAGAACAGAATCACCTGGATAGAACAGAATCACCTGGACAGAACCAAGGAATCTAAACTAAAGAAGGTCTCTCTGCTATAGATCTGAAGTTACTGGCATGTTCCTCCCCACCTGCCGCAGCCCAGTGCCAGCCATTCCCACATGTGGACTCATTCAGCACACAAACCGGTTTCCCAGGTAACAGGCGTAAGCAAGGCTAATGGCAATTGGTGGTTTTAGGGATTTGCACCAGGCACAGAACTGCTACCCAACGTTTTCTTTGTCAGAGAGGCCAACGGTTGACTGTCCTCGATACACAGAGCAAGGTTCTAAGGGCAGGGATGTTTCTGCTGCAGGGTAACTTGGCAGCCACGCTTAACATCCACATGGTAAAAATAAACTCTGCAGGACCTGGATGACCACTTAGTCTGCTTAAGAGGGTCTGACCACAGTTACTTCATGGAAGAAGTTCATATCTGCAGATGTTAAAATCAATTTCATACACACTTTTTTAAAACTTGGTCCTGGACTTAGGTCACTTTTCAGGTCTCAACACAAGTATGGGTTTTTATCTCATTCGAACGACAGGCTCAGATGCTGCAATAAGGAGAAAGAGAATCTGACAAAGAAACCTCACCCTATTCTGATGTGACAATTTCCTCGCCGTAGTTTATCCTGAAGACTCATGAAGACTTGACCACGAGCTTCTAGGCTCCGGTAAAACACACTTTTTTCCAAAAGAGGTAAAACCCTTGTTCTGAAAGGCCCTGCTAGTACTGAGACGTCTCAGCTGACAGACCTGTGCACCTCCTGGAAACCACCGGTGCGGCTAGAAAGCAGATGCCTGCGGATCTACTGGCCTTTCAACGTAGGGCGGGGAGCCAGGTCCCGTCTCCTAGCTCGTGTTTCTATGCACTCCACTGCATCGTGCAGACAAGACCACAAGCCGGTCACTGAGCGTGGAGCACGTTCTCAAGACCGACTTGAACCCCAGGGTCTGAGCTTGGATGGTAGATGCAGACACTGCCAGCCCTGGGCCGTCTGGAGTGGGAGTGACAGGGTGGGCGTCCTTTAGCCCCTGCCGTCACTTCCTTGAACATCGTTTTCTGCCACATGGAGGTCACTTGCTGCTCCCCCCACCCTGTCTCTCCTTCCCTCTTCTGGACGCTGAGGACGCTGAGGCCTGGGGGCAGTGATGGCCAGGCGTGAGCTGTCCTTGCTTCCTTCACGAGAACCGGCTCGCCCCTACCTAATGTTACGGGAGAGCTGGTCCCTACTCGGCCTTCTTACTCCAGGTGGGGGGATGCACAGGGCAACGCGGGGCAGGTCTGCACAGACCCCAGAAAGCACAGTGCCTGGCTGTACATGGCTCCCCCGGGCAGGCCTGGGGGGGGCGGCAGGGGGCGTCCACCACGTGAACCGAGTGGCCAGTGCAGCCGCTGTCCCTCTGCACCTCCAGCCAGAGAGCAGGACCAAGCTGGCAGGTCCTGAGGAGCCCAGCCGCCGGCCACGTGGCTCCTCACTCCGGCTTGGGACTGTGCCCTGCCTGCAGGGTCCCGGGGTCCCCGGCCCAGAGACCCTCCCCGTGCCGGCCTGGGGAGCAGCGGGTGGACACGCACCCTGGGAGGACGGGCGCCGGCCTCTGCGTCCCTGCAGGCTTGGAAACAAGGGGCGGAGGCCAGCACGGCCACGGCAACTCTCCCTCCTGCTGATCCCAAGAGCTGCCGTCTCTCCTCCTCACAGCTCCGGGCGCGGCGGTTCCAGAGGGGCCACAGCTGCCAGCAAGGGTCCCACTGGCCTTCAAGCCATGACTGCTGCCTGGGCAGGCCAGGGGGGCAGGGGGCCCCCAGAGCCATGCGGTCCTCCAGCCTGACTGCAGACATCCACGGACCAGGGCAGTGGCTTGGGCGTGGGCGTGCACAGGGCCCAGCGTCCCCAGCAGGATGGCCACTGAGGGCAGCTGGCGGGGGGCTACAGCAGGAAGGGAGACAAGGGGGAGCGACCCTGAGACCAGATGTGGCCACGGGCACTGCGGCTTGTCCCACGTCACTCCTCTTTTACGTTTCTTTAAACCCTTTAAACGTTCTGTTTGGGAGTGAGTAGACTTACGGAGAGATGATAAATAAAAGCAGCACAGAGAGCTCCTGGGCCCCGTCCCCCAGCTGCTCACGGTAACACCTCACGGAACACCTCACGATGACCAAAACCAGAAAATTACCATCTTGATGCTGTTACGACTGAGCCGCGAACTGTCTGCCAATCTTGCCAGGTTTCCCAGCAACGTCCTTTCTCTGACCCAGGCCCCCTGCCCTGAGCCGTCAGGCCCCCTCCAGGCCGCGATGGTTCCTCGGCCTTTCGGCGAGTCGTTCGACTGGGCGCCCTAGAGGGCGCTGTGCGGTGTTTGCGGGCAGTGCCTGCTGCCAGGGCTGCTCCAGTGTTACCCGGGTGCCCAGGACACCTACTTCTCTCAACTGCACTTACTCTTTTTCCACCATCAATAACGAGCGCATGCAAACATCCTTTTCCTCGTGAGCTGGGGGCCCCCGCCTGAGGCAGTACCCCTGTCTCGTCGTCCTCTGCGTCTCCCCCAGGAACGGGGGGCAGTCCTGCACCCAGACGCGTGGCCCCGCACACGGGCAGGAGGAGGTGGCGCCCACGGGACAAGGGCGACGGCTGGACACGGCTGTGCCGCCCAGATCTAGCTGCCCGGCTGCTGGAGACAGCACAGACGCCAGGAGCCCTGGGGACCCTCTGCCGCGGGGTGACACCACACCCCGAGCCGAGACGACGGACACGGCAGCCAGCCACTCCCGCCCACGGCAGGGTGTGTGTCCCAGGCCACAGGTGCCCCAGGGCTCCCCGCGGGGGCGGGGGTGAAGCTCCGCAGGGCCCACCGCCGTACAGCTTGGCTCCTGCTGCCGCGTGCCAGCCTCCCCTTCAGCGTCTGCGCCTGCAGCCCCAGGCCAGGACCCCAGCCCGTACCCGATTATGGCTCAAGGAGTGAGGAACGCAACGTGAGCTTTCTACAACCCACAAGCTGCAACGCAAACACAGACTCTCGTTACGGGTGGATTTAACAGGTAAGACGAAGCCCCCCAATCCTGGGGGGAAAGGCCCAGCTTTGCTCCTTCGTGCTTTCCCCTAAAAGGGCAGCTTTCAGGTTATGAGGGCAAGAACCTGTTGATTGCAAACTCTGGTTCGTTTGGGTCATAAACTGGGTGTTTACTACTCGTGGGTATCGGTGTTAATCACGCAGAGACAGAGATTCCTCATGGCAGGAGGGCCTCTTCCCTAAACAGTCTATGAACCAAACCATGAAAACCTTCCACGAGCTCCTGAACTAAGAGTGTGATTTCATGATTTAAGAACAAGAACTGAATTACAAGTGCATTTGATGCAAAGTCCCCCCAGAATGACACCTTGTCTGTATTTAGAAAAACACTAACCAAACTAGACTTCTTCAGCAAGTTTTCTAAGATGATTTTTTAAAAAGAGGTACTCACAGATGCTCCTCCCATAATCTTGGGAAACATCACGGTGGAACAGCCATCTGGACTCTGTCCGAAGGTAGTGTAGGGTGTTTGGAACCAAGCCTTCTCATTGGCCCAAACCACGTCACAGAGAGGCAGGATGGACGCTCCTAGCCCAATGGCTGGGCCGTTTACGGCTACAATAATAGGCTTCTTAAACTGAATGAAAGTATTCACGAAGTTTCTAAAACGGAAAATAAATGGGGGAGTTACTCAAAACACTGCATGTTTGAGCAACAGAAAAATCTACTTCTACGGAATTCAACACACCAAGATGTGAACTCTGGGGGCATCACCGTGACTTGTAATTCGCTGATGGCCTTCTCCCCACTGCCAGGGGCCCTGGCTTTATGTACCGTGTGCTGCAAAGGCTTAATGGTGCCCTGGACACCAGGCCAGGGTGGCTGTCGCCACAGGACCTGTGTGAATTCTGCGGGAACAACACAGCGGAAGGTGCTCTCGGCTTGGGCTCCAGGGCCAACCTGTCTTCCCCTGACGGCAGGAGGAGCCCAGGAACCACGATGGGCTTCGGAGGACCAGTCCAGCAGCTCTTCCCGGAGGAGGCCTGGAGTCACTGCGGTAGCCTGTGCTAGGCAGGGACATGGGGCCTGGGGTCAGGAACCCCAGGGTTCCAGTCCCCAGGTCTGGACTTGGTCTGTGATTTCAGACGGCTTACTGATTAACTCGAAACACAGAAATTTCCTGAGTTTATATAGAACTAGATGGAATGAGTTGGGGGACGCAGGGACAAGAAGCTCACAGGCTCGTGTGAGATGTGAGACCTGACAAGAGCATCACACCGCTAGGACCTGCTGGAGGGTCAGGCTGGGAAGGCGGGCTGCTCTGCTCTTCGGTTCAGGGCCAGATGGTGCATCTCCCTCCCCTGCACTGTGAAGCTAACTATGATCAGAGGTCGCGTCGTGTGAAGACTTAACATGGTGAAGAAAAGGACAAATCCACCCAAAATGAATACAAGATAATGCCTTTAAGGTCAGCTATGTTCTAGAGCAGAAGTCCAGAACTCCAAATTCTCAACCTGCTGCCCCCCAGCTTTGGGGCCAAAAATACCAGTCTGGGTCCTGCTCCCTACAATTCAGCAATTTAAAAATAAGGCAAATCTGTGCAGATCGTCTCTATCATCTAGTCTCCCCTCCTCCCCAAATACTGACAGGAAGGGTCGTGTCTTCTTTGGATGGGGGGGGAGGGGGGAGGTTTGGAGGGAGTGTGTGTGTGTAGGGTGTGTGTGTGGGGGGAGGGGACCCTAGAGTTTGGCAGCCTGCAAGCCTCACTCTGGGAACTCTTGTCAAAAGCCCCTGCAGTCAGCACAGACCTCAGCCTGCCCCAGGGTCCCCAAAGGTTGGGGGGATTGAGAATTAGGTCACTCGAATGAGCTGCAGAGACTTTTAAATGAGAGCCTGGGGCACCGTTAGGAAGATCACACTTTTTAAGTTTTAAGGACGCAAAGAGAGCCAGACAACCTTTACAATAGGTCCTTGAAATAATCCTAGACCACGGTACGTGAAGCTACTTCAGTTCTGCCACTTTTTGAGGATTCTGGGTCAACGAGTTGTGACGGAAATGCATTTTCTATGCTCCGTTACCAACGACCCTTGAGAAGGTAACTGCTGTCTCCCTGGTTTAAGCAGACGTTTTCCCCGAGTGGCCCCACATGCATCTGCTCACGTGAACAGGGGCAAAGGAAGCTCTTTCAGTGCTGACATCTGGAAACCATGGATGGGATGGTAGCTTAACATGAAAGAGGTGATCAAAACAGTGTAATAAAGGGATTCTATAGAGAAACGGTACAAGGAATGAATCCTTCTCATATGTCAGTATAAAAGAAAAAAAATCTTCTAAAATACATATTGCAAAATCAGGCTGGAGAAATTGGAACTGAATTTTTCCCCCCTAAGAAGATGATTTTATTTTTATGTTTGCTTGGATTGATAATCTAAACCCGGGCTCTTGCTGGGAGGAGTATGAATTAACCGACTCCCTCTGGAGTGAAGGCCACTGCCCCTTCTCGGAGGACTCCACCACGCCATCTGATGAGCTCTGAGACGCCAGAGCGAGCACGGTCCACAGAGAAACCCCTCTCGTGTGAAAATAAAAAAAAACAAAACCCCAAACAGAACTTCACAGAACTGCTTTTCTGTTTTGCAGGAACTTCCCCGCGCCAAGAAGGCTTAGCCACACGGCAGCCAGAGGCGGGAGGCGCCTTCGGGCCCCGAGATGGCTCTCGGGGGCCTGGCAGCCAGGGACCACTGCTTTGCGGGGCGTAAAGCAAGTGTATTTTAGAACTTACAATGCATGAACGTTCAAATGTGTTCAATGCAACATACTGAATTTAAACTTCGCTTTCCTCTGGATTGCCTATGAATTGAGTGAAAGGCTGTGCTGGGAACAGCAGGGAAGGAAAGAGATCCTATTTGCCACAAAAAGACTCTTCAACAAAACCGGAAATTCTCTCCATTCTTTTGAAGTACATTTACTACCCCACAGACCTCACCAAGTTAGAAAATCTCCTAAGAGCAACAGTCCAGGAATTGTTTTGGGGAAACCAAAACTGACCTGTTAAGGGCCAGTTCACTGCCATTTCTCAACTGATCTCCCCCTTCACGAGTGCCTGGAACGGGAGTGAATGCGGAAGAGGTCAGGTTCCAGGGGACGTTTCCTCTCTGGCTTTGCTCCCTCCCCAAATCTCTGCTCCTCTCGCCGCCTTTTGGGGAGAGGAGGCTCCTGGTCCCCACAGACTGCAAAAGCCTAACGTTATAAATTGACCCCTAATAACTCTGTTCTTATCACTAATGTGCTGAGTATTTTTATTACAATTAATCTGCAAACTGGTTGCTGCCAAGAATCCCAGCAACGGAATCAGCCCCTACAGATACTTAAGAATCTAACAGTTTAGACTTGACCTCCCTATTCCCACCTTTCTTTCGGAAACTCACTGCGATTGATGTTCTTTGCCCAAAGTTTTCAGGAATTCGAGACGAGACACCACAGAAACAAAAGATACACGTAGTAATAGCTTTATGTGTATGAGCCAACCTAACACACATAAACATGAATTTCAATGCAAATGAGCAAAAGTAAAGGTTAAGTCAATCTGGCGTAACTATTTTTGGATCCTGCCTGAGTGCATTCAGAAAAATTCACATTGACAAAAACATCATTTAAAGAAGAACTGATTTCCTAAAGCAAGATTACGCTTTCCCCTAGGATACCAATTCGGCCTTTTGTGGGGAGTGAGGAGAGTCTGGAGTTTCTGAAATGGAGTGGGTGACTGAAGAAAATTAGCATTTAAAGTTACCTAGAAGTTCAACACATGAGATCGCTCTTGATCTATCCTTCCTCTACTTTGTCTAATCCCAACAATACAAGCCTTTGCCCCGGTCAAGGGCAACCCCACCCTGGAGAAGCGGGCCAGAAAGTTTATTGGTGGAACTCAGGGAACCGTCTACGGGGGGAGTGAGCCAGAACGGAGGCGACAAACCCTGGCTTCTCACTCAGCAGAGCCCCCAAATCACAGAGTCAGGTGGAACGTCAGTGTGATCTTATGGAGAATACACAAAGTCGCCACCTGAGGCATAAGCATCTGTATTTTAAAAATGAACGTTAAGTTCCTATAATTCATCCTGAAAGGGTGGGATGGGTCAATAATTAGGAATATCTACAAGTTATCCTAAAGTTACTGATGACTTGTCGAGGAATTACGTGCACCGATCAAGCAGTTTACTTTGAATAACAAGATGGTCCCGTCTAGTACACTGCAAGTTTGAAATTATTTAGGAAGCCAGAAGCAATGCTTAATAAAATCAGATTATAAAATTTCAAACTAGTTTTGGAAAAACAACTACCCTACGATAACCTAAAAAATAGTAATGTTCGAAAAGATTAACGAACAGATAATGCCTTGTATACATGCACACGTGTATATAGTGTGAGAAAACATTAATTCTGAGAATTATTAAAAATATTCTGAAAGGCCAAGGCAATGCCCTATAGTCCCAAGGTGTGGGGTTCCAGAGCTCCTGTGACGGGCTGTTTGGGGCTGCGCCCATGGGAACCATCTGGGGAGATCTTTTGGAGAGAGATGCCCTGCCTACTCCAGGCCAAGACAGGAAAAAGGCTTCCACCGTCCTGCTGTGCAGCCCTCGAATAGTTTAGGGACCAGAAAGCCCAGTGCCCTCAACGTCAGTGCTTAGTCTCAGCCACAGCGGGCCCAATACTTATCAAAAGCAGCTCAGCTTCAACTCTCCAAATAACTAAGGATTTTGGAGGAGATTCAACCAACGTTATCGGCACTTTGCGAGTCTGCATCTCTTTAAATGTTTTAATCCTGTAAACGACCAAGACACACAAAGGGTTCTCTGGGGTCCCTTAGGGATGTGACATTTCTAGGGAGGTAGGCAGGGCAGTACAACAGGCTTTCTGGCTGGTGACTGGGTTTCATTCACGTCAAATAAGATTAATCTCTGAAAAATCAGACACTTTTAATTGTGCATATAGTGATAAGCAGGAAATACATACAAAATCTGTACCTGCATATGCTTACTGCAGAATCATGTGGTTCTAAAGAAAGTTTCCTGCAACGTTGTGTTAAAGGAGTAGAAAATCCGAAAACAGAGGAAATAGAAATGTCGGAAGTTATACTGCTAAATGGGAAAAGTTGCAAAACAACACACAATATAATTCCACTTATTTGATAGAATCAAAAATACATCTGTATTACTTGTGTGTGTGTGTGTGTATGGAATGCACATCTGAAAATGTTTGAAAAAGGTTGGGAAAGACATACAAATAAACAGTGGATGCCTTGCTGGGGGTGAAAGAAAGGGAACTCGTGTATCTGTATCATCTAGTTTTGTGTGTAGCTGGAACTCAGGATGAGCTTGTGTGTACTGCTTGTACTGAAAAAACCTTCTCCTGTGATGTTATGGAACTAGTGTGTCATAAAGTCCAGCCGATTTATTTTCGAGTCAAGCAAACGTTAAGTTACCACATGAAAAAGACAGTGTCTTTATTCCAGGGCTGGCGACAGAGCACACGGAGCGTGGACGGCCGAAGCCCCCGCCACGTGCTACCCTGCGCTCTGCCCCTGGAGCGCCCCCCATCGAGCGTGTGCTGGGCTCCAGCCAACCTTGACATGCGTCATCTGCTCAGGGCAAGTGGCCCACAGCAGAGACAGAAGATCCGATCAACTCGGCTACCAGCGAGTCTGGGGGGGAGGAGACGCACGCGCTGCTCGCAGGCCCGTCCAGACCCGCCCCACGGGGCCTGGGTCACGCCGGCGTTCACGGCGGACCAGGTGTGCGTACCTGATGGCCTCGGCCATCTTCGTGCTCTCTCTCTTCCGGTCGTCCGTCAGGCGCCGGATGAAGTAGATGAAGTCAAGGCCGCAGCAGAAGACGCTGCCCACGGCGCTGAACAGCACCAGCTTGCTGTCGTCGGCGGCGGCCGTGCTCAGGGCGCTCTGCACTTCCTTCATCACCTGAAAGGCACCGGGAGTCACGGGCGCGAAGGGAACGCTAAGAGCATCTCATTACCGGACCATCTCGATCCACGCAAAGTGCATTTACAGCCTGATACTGTTGCCTGTACCTACCAAGTAACTCGCAAGTTTCTTATTTTCTGAAACCAGGGATTGGGAATAATGGGGACAGAATCTCATCACATAACTAGAGAGATGTGTGAATCTGAGTTCCTCAACGGTCCCATCCTTACGGCTCTCGGTGGGTGAGTTACGTATTATATCCCCTTGGCACTTCTACAGTGTGGACAGCAGGTGGCGCATGCAACCAGTTCAAACAAACTACTAGTCTGGTTTCATTTGACACCAGCCTCCGTACTTGGGACAGAAACCCCAAGTTTAGTGCGTACGGGTAACGAGTACAAGCACATCAGCATGGAGGCATTTTAGAAAGGCACAAACCACTTAAAATGGTCTCTCTGAAGGACTTACAAATAACCAACGGTCTAACGGTGTACCGGGGACCAGCCGCCCCGAGCTGGTCTGTCCCGTGATCCTGGCCAGACACACTAGCCTTCTGTGGTTTGGTTTTCTCGTCCAGAAAAGGCGTGACCTAGCCGTTCACGAGCAGGAAACAAACAACTCCCAGAACTTACAATTTTAGGCATGATGGAGTGCAGGTTCAAACACTTCCGATTTTAGATACTTCACAGAACTAAGTTTTCGAGCCTTTGCGAGCACCAGTCTCCCTTGATCCTGGGAAGCTACCTTTACCGGGTACGATCAGTAACAAATGCATTGGCATCACTGCAGCTGTAAGTTCCACTACGTGGAGTGCTGGGACCGACTGGGAAGGATGGTGAGATATTCAGAAGGCTGGACCTGGGGCTCTTTAATCTTGTCTGAACAGAGAGCTCTGGGACCTGACGAAAGCTACAGGATGGCGTGTGCACACGCTTTACATGTGACTTCAGGGGGGCCCTCCGTCCCTCCCGATGGATGAAGAGCTCCTGGCCGGGAGGTGGAAGCACAGGGGCACCACCGCCACCTCCCTGTTCACAGCCAGAGCCCCGAACAGGAAGCCGGGTCCTCGCCGGACCACACTGTCCCCACATATAACGGGGAGCAGGCCTGCCGTGCTGCGCTGGCTTCCACCGTCAGGTGAAACAGCCCGGGGTGGGGATGGGGGATGAGAAAGGGCGCAGGAGAGCAGGGACCGGGCCCCGCAGGCCCAGAGAGACAGGAGGCCCCGAGCAGCCCCAGGGACGGTGCTCACCTCTGGGTTGAGAGAGTTGTTCTCGGACGACTTCGTGGACAGCAGGATGTGGGTGAAGCCGTCCTGCTTCCGGACGACGATATCCCTGTACCTGTAGGCGCTTTCCGTCTGCCTCACGCTGAAACGCAGCCGCTTGTCGAAGGGCTGGTCTCGTCTGTCATCGATGAATTTCCTCTTCCCGGCCGTCACGCCCGTGACTGACGTCTGCAGGTTGGTCGTCCCGTTGGCCGTCAGCGCGTCCATGAATGGAGAGGAACCTGCCAGGGGTCCGAAAGCACAGCTGTCGGTGAGGTCTTGCCATCAACTCGCCTTTGAATTAGGGAAAAATGCTTGCGACAGACTCAGGATCGACTGTGTTAATTTAAGAAGCTTAAAAAGTAGAACCTTTGGAGAGGATAGGCGTTTGTTTGCCTCCCAAGTCTGACGAGGAAATCGCCCTCGCACTGATCCCGCCTAATAAAACAAGAGATGGGAAGGAACGTGCTGAAAAGAAACTGCAAAATTTGAGACTTTTGAGGAACGGAACTGAACTAGAATGGGTCTCATGAAGAGGACATATTCCGGGCTTGAGAAGTTGAAAGAAAAATGGAAACTGCTTCAAAGAAATATCTTATTATTAGAGCCGAGCTATGTGCCATTCTAGCCGAAATTTCTTCTGGATGAAGAGCCACTCATACAGGCTCACAAAGCAGCCCCGCCCCGTTTCTGCGGGTCCGCCACACCCTCGGGCCACTCTGTCCCCTGGTCCCAGTTCTACTACATTTTCAAACAGCCTTTTCAATGGCTGGAGACGGCGCTCTCTCCTGCCACCAAAAGTTAGTCCCGCTGATTCTCCTTCCTCTGTCGGCTGCTCTGTGTCAGCCTGGCTGTGCTTCACTCAGCCTTAAAGACACAGCCTTCCGAACTTGGTGTTTCTTACTATGATAAAGTCAAGGGTTTGATACTTTCTTAGAGTTACCAGGAAATGTCAGGCTAAGGGTTCAAGTGTTAAGGCAAATAATTATGCTATTGGTGTGAACTGTCTAAATATTATCTAACCTGGTAATGAATGTATAGAGCCTTTGGGTGGAGGAAGAAAGGGAAAGAAATGCAAGGAACTGGATCAGGCTTTACTAATAAAATGAGCAAGGAGAGAAGTTCTCTGAGGAGAAGAGCTGGATGAATTACGAGTCAGAAATACTTCCTGCAAAGTGAAAGAAGATAGCTGGAGCCGCTGGAGAAGACTTGTGAATGGATGTTTAGAGAAGTCAGATCATCTCCCTGGTTAAACAGGTTGACTTTCATTCAGTTAGCAGAACTACTTTGGAGGTTTTTAGAATTGAAAATAAATTCATTTTTGGGAAAATCTGGGAGAGGTCCTAATACATAAATGGTACAAGACTCTGAGACTATAAAAAGGTCTATAAGACTATAGAGGTCTATGAGACTATAAAAATGGTACAAGCCCTCCCCCATCAGCCCACGACCCCCTGCACTCCACAGCCACTGTGTCTGGTTTCCAGGTGTCTTACAGAGTGCCCTATGTGTATATCAGCAAATATGAATTTAAATGCTTCTCTCTCACCCGCCTTTAACAAACACAAATGGCGGCACATTAGACACAGCGTTGTGGATTTCTGTAATGCATTTTACCAGCAATTTTTGATACTACAAATGATGCTGCAACGCATAACCTTGGCTTGTGTTGTCCCTTCCAACAAACTTAGGATAAGTTTCTAAAGGATCTGTAACAGAAAGAGCATTTGATAAGCTGTTAACAGTGAGACAGGGCACTGCTGAATCTTTCTGAGGAAGCCAGGAAGGATCCTTTCTGTTTCTTTTAACCTTCAGCCTCTCCTCTACCAGGTCCCCCCGCCCTCCCATCTGTGTTTACAGACGTTCTCCAACCTCTTCCACCCTCTGCGCTCTGAGCTGCTCTTCCCAGCACTGCCCTCTCTTCTCAGGCCCGTAGCAGCCCCGCCTGGGCTGTCCTTGCTGTCCCCACTTCTCCCTCTGCCCATCGTTCCTCCACCCATCTGCCCTGAGCTGGAGTCTACGCGAACGGACTTCTCGGGTGCAGGGAGGAACGGGCCATGGATGAGGCTAAACCACTGAGCCTGGTGCCCAGGAGACGGGGCATCTGCAGGGGAGTGTCACAGGGAAATGTGGTTTTCTCCAGTCACTGCTGAAGTGAAGAGTGAAGAGGCTCCAGAGCCCAGAAGCGGGGCCTGTGGTAAGCGGAGTGGGTGTCCAGAAACGACAGCTGAGCTGAGAAGTAGAAGCAGTGAAGGAGAGGGGGAGCCGTGAGCCTGCCTGGGTGCGGGGAGGGTCACGAGCAGGGCCAGGGGGCTGCCCAAGGGTAGGGAGCGGTGCCACGCGACGAGGCTGTGTCAACAGTGGCGTGTGCCACAGAGAGAAGGGAGGGAATGGAGAGGTCGTGGGGTGGGGGGGTGGGGCACGAGGGGCCGCTCTTAAACCCAGGAAGTTGTCTCACTGGAGGGCAGAAGCCAGAACGGAGAATTCAATGTATGACAGACAAAAACTGTCACATGCAAAAAACATACATGTTCAAACCAAGAATCTGTTAAAATGTGGTGGTAAGGACCCCAGAAGAACAACTGCAGCTGAGCGGGACTGGTATTTACGGGACTGACAATGATGATTCCCCTGCCTAAAAAGAGGTCCCATCAGAAATAAGCCCACGCAGAGGCAGGCAGGGAGGCCGCCCGCCCCGGGTGAAGGGGGAGGGCGATGAAGGGTCACGGGTGGCCCGGCTGGGGCTCCGGCACGTTCCGGAGGAGCAGGTTCTCGGGGAGGCACTTGCTGGTGTGTCTGGATCTTGATGTTACCAACCCTGAGTGAGTTGATAGGTGCTGTGTCAAAGCAGCAGGAATGACCCTGGTGATACGGGGAAGCCCTCTGCGTGCTGGGTGCCCGCCGCCCACCAGGGCGAAGCCGCTGGCTTCGGATCAACCCTTCCACCCCGACCTGCTCCTGCTTCGCAGGGTAAATAAAGCCACACGTTCGTCAACGCTCCAGGAGTTTCCCTGGTGGCTCCCTTCCACAAAGGCAGAGGGTTTCTAGGCTGTGGGTCCATGTAGCCTTGATACGTGAGCTCTGGAAGCAGCTCAGCATATTGGAGGCAGCGCATCCCCCGGAGCTCTCCGTGGTTCTGCAAATGTAGCCGTGGATTTCTGTTGCCTCATGCCAACCAGCACTGGGGGCCTTCATGTCCCTGTTAGAGCTCTGCTGGCTCTTGGTGCCATCACGGGCTCTGCTGATTGCAGAGCCTGTGATCTTGCCAGTGGCCCTACCCCCAACCCCAATATGAGCCCTGAGACCCTCTGTTACCCACCTGCAGGACCCTGTTCAGGTGGAGAAGTGCTCACGGCAGGACTGCCCTCAGACTCGCAGGCGCCAGGGCTGGGCCACGCCCCTCGTGACGTGCATCCCCCCCGTTCAGGTCTGTGCTCCCCCAGGGCCTCTGGACTCGCCTGCCTAGAACGTTCTGGCCCTAGAGCTCCAGACGGCTGCTTGTTTCTGCTCATCTGAGCGGCAGCTCCTCAGGAAGCCTCGGTCCCCACGCGTGCGGCCCTCCCGGCAGCACCCATGCGGCCCAGTCTGTCTCCCTCGCAGCGTTCCTCACCCAGCTCATCCTGTCTCACCCGACTTTTAGTTACGCTCCGTGGCTGGACGTCACCAAGCTCCCCGTCTGTCTCATTCACTGCCGCACCCCCGGTGCTTGGAACACGCGGTCGCCACTGACCAAGCAGATGAGGGGAGGGGACCCCAACGCCCCTTCAGCCCAGCCCCCTGCACCCAGAGGAGGAGGCCTACAGCCCACCCAGCCTCGTGACAATCGGGGGCAGCAGTGCCACACTTCAGAGCAGAAGCCACTGCTAAGGACTCAACTAAAAGGCAAACACTGAGATTCAGGAAAAGACGTCCTCCACGATGGAAACCATCGTGCGACACGCAGTGTGACCCAGGCTCTGAGGGAAACACAGGAGGCAAAAGCTCCAAGGAACCGGCATGAAATCCAGCTAGGAAAAACTCACTCAGCGTCTCTCCGAAAAACGGTTTTCTTTTAAAACATTCTAAGAGCAAAAAAGATACTCTCAGAGGCCTCCCTGGTGGCACAGTAGTTAAGAATCGCCTGCCAATGCAGGGGGACACGGGTTCAAGCCCTGGTCCGGGAAGAGCCCACATTCTGTGGAGCAACTAAGCCTGTGCGCCACAACTACTGAGCCTGTGCTCTAGAGCCCACAAGCCACAACTACTGAGCCCACGTGCCACAACTACTGAAGCCCATGTGCCTGGAGCCCGTGCTCCGCAACAAGGGAAGCCACCACAATGAGAAGCCCGCACACCGCAAGGAAGAGTAGCCCCCGCTCGCCACAACTAGAGAAAACCCGCGTGCAGCAACGAAGACCCAACGCAGCCAAAAAAAAAAAAAGAAGATACCCTCAAACATGTACTGCTGACCTGTTAAAATTCACGGTTTCAGGGGACTTCCCTGGTGGCGCAGTGGTTAAGACTCTGTGCTCCCAATGCAGGGGGACTGGGTTCGATCCCCAGTCAGGGAACTAGCTCCCACATGCATGTCGCCACTAAGAGTTTGCATGCTGCAACTAAGGAGCCTGTGAGCCGCAACTAAGACCTGGTGCAACCAAATAAATAAACAAAATTTAAAAATTCACTGCTTCAAAAAGCATGTCTCTAACGTGAAATGTGCTTCCAACCATGATAGAGAAACGGTGTCTGGATTTCCTCACTGGCCAGTGAGATGAAATGTGCTTCCAACCATGACAGAGAAACGGTGTCTGGATTTCCTCATTGGCCAGTGAGACCCAGAAAACAGAACAAACCACCACATGACCATTTCAGACACCAGACAACAGGCAGGGCACAACCGTGTTGCCAGCATGAAGGGTGCAGGTGAGCCCAATGACCCACTGGGCCTTCTGCCTGGAGGTGACTTCCACGCTGCGGGGAAATGCTGACCTGGGAACGCAGACTGAAGGTGAGGAGGCCCAGGAGGCTGGAAGAAGAAAAGGACCTGTGCCTCCTGGATGTTCATGGCCATTACCTTCTTTAGTCTGAAGTTAGAGAGCAAGCACTACAGTGTCTACAGAATTATCCGCCCTCCTTTATGGAGTCTAACATTTCAAAATGTTGTCACCCACACTCACGGAACCTAATCCTATTTAAGGATATAAAAGCCTACCATTTTATTCAGATTATATAATCTGCAAACTGAATTCATTAACAGAAAACT